ATAAATTAGGAAAAAAATAACCCCACCTTGTAAGTGCTACATTCCCACTAATGACACAGGCAGCTGAGGATTCTTTTAAGAGCCATTTCCACAAGCATATTAATCTCCATGCATAATAACTGGCTACAGACAGACAGGTTAGTAAGAGCACAATATAACTAACGCCCTTTCATCCAACCGTTTCAAACGGCTTCATCAACACTGATTACACCCCAAACCCTTGTGAAGTGGTGATTGGCTCAATTTTACGAGCATTTAAAGTCAAACAAAGACGTTCCCACCAGCCCAGGGGTTACACAGTTTGAACACACACCTATTAGCCGCCCTCAAGCGTCTGGCAAAGGACGATGCAGAGTTGGGGCGACAACCAGCAGGACTCCTGACGTGGAGTTCCTCCTCCAAACCTCAGAGCTGGCAAACTGTAAAATGGGGGTCGCCAGGTCTGCGGGCAGGAGGGGAAGTGACAGGCGGTACCCGGGCAACTTCCGCCTCTGGACCACCCACCCTACATGTTCTCACGGAAGTTATTTAAAGTGTTAGTGCTCATAAGGACACGTGGACGGCTAAGGCAGAACAGGGATTCGACCTCAGAATCAGTGATTTTCTCCCTTAAGAAAAGGTGCAGAGTGAAACAAATGGTGTTCCCACTGAGGGGCCGGTTGTGAGAACTGCCCTGAGGCGGCCTCAGGCCAGCGTCTTCACCTGCGGCATCGTTGGTTCTTGAGCTCCTTCACCCGCAATGTCAGATGGGGAGGATTCTTCCGAGGCAACACCTCAGTGGGTTCCCAACTGTCTCTCCACTTCACTGGGTAGGGTCAGCTGAGTTGGAAGGGCAGGGAGGAGGGAGGCGTTTGGAGGCTAACACCTCAGTGGGGGCTGCCCCTGCTGGAGAGTCTCAGTGACCTGCGAAGGCCCAAGACTTGGCCCAAGTCGCAGAGTGAGCAAGTGGCAGGGCCAGACCTGAACACAGGTCTCCCCACACTTTGGTCCCCAATATACTACAGGTGAGGGAGTAGTGAGGCCTCCCAAGCATCAGGAACCTTATATTTGGGACATATATAGTCGAAATCGGGCCATTTTGAGAAAGAAAGGGGACTCGATTAATATGCATGGACATGAGGCACAAACCAGGACTTCTGGTCACTGTACTCACAGCGCAGCCCCTGAATGGGACGTGTTACTCACGAGGGAGGTGGGGTGAGGGCAAAACTACGTGCAGGAAACAGGATTTCAGACTCAGCTGCTTCAAGCTGTGGCTTCAAAAGACCCAAATATCGAGGGGAGGCACAAAATCAGTCACTTCTCTCACTGCCCCACCTTCCCTGTGTGGACCTTGAAGACCAGCAGATGTGTGCTGGGGTCCTGCCTCTGCCACTTACTGCTGTGTGACTTCAGGGGAACTACCTTAACTCTCTGACCCTCAGCTTCCCCTCCGAAAAGCGGAGCTGATCGGAAACCCTCATAGAATTGTCGTGTTGTATGAAATAAGGCACATGTTGAAACATCACCTGACACATAATAAATACTAAAACAAATCTAGCTTTTACTATTATTTTTACAGTTTTCATTTTTATTATTATCATTATTATAAGCAACTGCTCTCAGGATCCTTCTGGTTCTGATATTCTCTGATCCAACATTGATCCTTTACCAGCTACAACTCCGAAAGAAAATAAACTGTGCCCAGAAAAGCAGCCAAAGGTCACAGAGGCAGGAACCCTTGTTTGGATATTGGGATCCAAGTGAAACCTCAACTCAGATCTCCAGCTCCCAGGTCTGCTTCACATCTGTCCCTATTGAAATACCATGGTAACAAGACCAATCCTCACTTGCTATTTGTTTATTTATTTATTTATTTTTTGAGGAAGATCAGCCTTGAGCTAACATCTGCCAATCCTCCTCTTTTTGCTGAGGAAGACTGGCCCTGGGCTAAAATCCATGCCCATCTTCCTCCACTTTATATGGGACGCCGCCACAGCATGGCCTGCCAAGCAGTGTGTGGGTGCACGCCCAGGATCCGAACCAGCGAACCCCGGGCCGCCGCAGCTGAGTGTGTGCACTTAACCGCTTGTGCCACCGGGCCAGCCCCTCATCACTTGCTACTTAAACCGACCTCCCCCAATCCCTGGGCTTCAGACTGCTAACAGTTAAGCATAAACTGCATGCTGGCTGGCTCCAAGGGCTACTCACATTCAAATACAAAGGATGCAGGAGAATGGTCAACTAGGCTCTGCTACACCTGTAACTGGCTGCAGGCCAGCTCCCTGACGCTTCCCTTCTCCAGCAGGTGAGGCATTACCTCCTCCATGACCGCCACTCAACACTTAATAACCAGTGTCAGGGAGAGAGGGGCCTCGTAGAGTGCCTGGCACAAGCAGGCAGCAGGAAGTGGAGGATAAAACCAACGGCCTTGGCAGTGCACAGACGTGATTCGAATCCCAGTTTTACTAGCTATTGACAGTGTGGCCTTGGGCAAGTGAATTAACCTCTTTGTGCCATTTTCCTCACATGTAAAAGGGGTTATAATGGTACTTATCTTACGGGGCTTTTGTGAGGATTGGCACAGTCCCTGTCATACAGTAAACACTCAACAAAGGTTAGCTGCTATGATGACGATAATGATTACTGTAGTAATTTTGAATTGGCTATAAAAGTGCAGATAAAGGACTGTATTTTCCTGCCAGGAAGACTGACAAAGGCTTCGTGGAAAAGGTGACACCTGAGCTGGAGCTGGAAGGCTGGGCAGGATTTCCTCAGGCAGAACACAGGGGAGGTGCCGGCAGCTTTGGTTCCCTAGGCTGCACATTTAGGTCATTCTAATGACCACCCTAGAGGATGGATTTAAAACCGACCTGCAGAGGAGTAACAAGGCTTTCCCCAAGTTGTAATGCCACAAAGCGACAGAGCTGGGGTTTGAAGCCAGGTCTTTGATTCCAAAGGCCATGTTCTTAACACTCTGCTGTATCTCTATTTTGATTCCAAAGGCCATGTTCTTAACACTCTGCTGTATCACTATTTCTGCCGCAAATTCTGTCTTGAAGGGTAAATACTTATGGAAACGGCTTCCCCCACCTCCCTCCTATACTGTATGCTCCTTCAGGGAAGAGATATCTCAATTATCTACACAGCTCCCGCCCCCACCCAGCACAGGCATCCATAGAGCAGGTACTCAGCTGAAATGCCTGTTTGCTAAACAGAAGAACTTGAGGCCTATCTCCTCCAGGCTGAGGCAGAGCCTCCAGGGTCAGGGGCCTGCTGGGATGGCAGCTCCATCTGTCCTCTCTCTTTCACAGACCACCCTCCCCCAACAACCAGAATCCACTCTGCTGGGCGGGGCAGAGGGCAGGGCTGCAACTCAAGGCAGACTGCTTGCTCCTGACTTCATCCCACTGATCAAGCTGGACTTGGAGCCTCTCAATGTTTTCCCTAACGGTTAGAGATGACTTTGGGGCAGCCTGCTAGGCCCACAGGACCACTTTTCTCTGAGAGCTCCCCACAGTGATGAAGCCCCAGAAACCATGTTTGCTGGGTGACCCCACCCCCCTGGCCACCACTGATTGGACCAATGTAGACACCTGACCCAAGCTGGGCCAATCAGATCTTCTCTCTTTTGAGGGTGGTGGTAAGAGTTCCAGCACCTTCCAAGTCCCATTGCCCTGTCTGCTCCTGGTTTCCATGAGCTACCCTGTAACCTTATAATAATTTTCCCTTTTGCCTCAGCTTCTCTGAAATGGGTTTTTATTCCTTGTAACCAAAATCAAGGAGGAAGGAGATAGCTTCCTCTTAAAAACCCCTTCCCCACTCCCAGGCAGAATTAACTACACCTTCCTCTGCTCTGTGCACCTGCATCTGTTTCTCTTTGTAACCAGAGACAGTTCTGAGTCAAGCACCTCTCGCATGCCTAGCCCTGGGCTGGGTGCCTTTTCACTGATCCACAATGCACGGAGGGATGAGGGATGGAGGGAGGTGTTACTACCACCATTCTACCCCTAACAAGTTCTGAGGGGCTCAGCCACGTGTCCAACATCACTTAGCTAGGAAGGAGCAGAGAGGGGATTGGAACCCAGGTCTTCTTCCCTTTATCCCACTGGTACTTCAGCCAGCTCATAGCTCTTTGTTCACATGCCTGTCTCCCACCTCAGTTTTTAAGCTCTTTGGTAGAATCACACCTATTTATCTTTGCTCTGGCACAAAAATATTTCCATAATTCAGTTACAGAATTAAATGTGATTAACATGGAAACTTATTAGAAATCTCATCAGGGCGAGTGTCCTGTGTTTTCTTAGATTCTGTATTTGTCTATTTGGTATCCATTCATCACAGGGCCAACTGTATTAACTTTATGTTCTTATTTTCCATACTCCTGATGCTCTGGCATTTGTAACCTCGCTAACTGGGGAGAGACTGCCTCTCCCAGGGCTACCCATCTTAGAGATGGCAAAGCAGCATGCACTCTGGGATGTTCACTGCAGCAGGGTTTACAGTCACCCCAGATTACAGACAATCTGAACATCCAACAGTAGGGGATCTGTCCAGAAAATTGTAAAACAGCAGCTCAACAGATTATCGGGCAATCATTCAACAAGCATGCTTTCAATCACTACTCACTGACACTGGAAATATTCCACAAACAAGGTTAAGTGAAACAACCAAGATTCAAAACTTTATGTACAATCTGATCACAAATTTGTACTACCAGGAAAAATCAGGAAGGATATATATATATATATATATATTTCATACACTGAAATATGAATAAATGTTGTCTCTGAGTTATGGAGTAGGTGATTTTTAAAAAATCAAATCTTCTAAGTGGGAATGCAATCCTTTTAAAATATTTCTCTACCTCTCTATTTTTATGTATTTTAATGAGTGTTTCTTTTCTTTTGATTACACATTCTCCTGCCTGTCTGTTTCTGCCAGCAATAGGCATGCGGACCCTGGACATGTCTGTTAGCCAATGCTGTACTGTGTTACCCAAAACCAAAAAAAGCTCTTGCCTTGTAGGAGAAGGAGCCCTCGCTGGCAGAGTCGGCACTGCTTGTGGGCAGGAGCTGCTGCAGCTGCAGGGCTGCACCGTGGGCTCCGTCCATGATGGTCTAATGGCACATCCTGCCAGGCCTGCCTCGGGAGCTGGAGCTGCTGCTAAGCGGGACTGAAGCTGGAAGCCATCTTTCCTTGGGGTGTTCAGCTCCTTCCACCAGCCATCGCTTTCTCACACCCAGAGAGTACTTCAAGCCTCCTTTGGCTGGTTTACAGCCTTTTCCTCATCTTCACTCAGAAGTGCCAACTTCTGTCTCTCCCAAGCAGACAGACAAGGGTGTGTTTCCTGATTCTGGTGCGGCTCTAGGGTGATGGGAAGGAACATTAAAAATGCATGTACAATGAAACGCTGAGCCCAGCTTTGTTACCCGAGAAGACAACACTGTTAGGACAAAACACAATCGCCATGAGAAGTGAGGCCAGTGAAAAATTTATATCATGCCCCTTAATAAAGATAAGGCTCATCTATCTCAAAACTTTTTCCCTGGCCCTTAAAAGTTCCCTTTCCTCTCCCCCTCTGCTTCCTTCCTCCCATCATATCCTAATTTAAATCTGACTTTTTCCATAGGCTCCTCTACATAAGAAGTAGAATACTGCCTATATCTACTTCTCCAGGACTCCAAATAAAAAAATCCCACTGCCACGAAAAGGGAACCATCTGGGTTCCAACGTAGGAAAGAAAGAATGAGAAGAAAAGTTATCTCCGTGGAAGATGGAAGATCTGGGCTGCTACCAAGGGTCAGCCTAGCACAGGTGAGGGAACACTGGACTGGGAGGTGGAAAACCTGTGTGACCAGATCACTTCACCTCTGGGAGACTCAGTCGCCTCATCTGTAAAGTGGGGGTAATAATGTGACCGCAAGTAAAACCAGCAATCATGGTAATTCCCGTTAACTTCATTGGACTGATATTTTCAGTGCATGTTAAACTTTTCTACCAAATCGAGAAAAAAAAGAAAGAACTCCCCTAGTGTTCTGGGAGACATAGCCAAAACACCCTACCACAAGTGCTAACTTGGAGGTCTTCTTATATCTAAAAAAAAAAAAATCATACAAATTTGGATTTTACTGCAAAATCTATGTTTATTTTAAAATAAAAATACTTTACATTCCTTTTGATCTGTCATGTGTTACCTCTTTTACCTTGGCCAAGTCATTTAACTTTCCAGCTAGTTTCTTCTGCTGTAAAACACAGATATTCCTCTCACAGGGTTGTTGTGAGAATTTGATGCAATATGTGTAACATGTATGCACAGAGAGAGTGCTACATGAATGGCAGCTATTATTAGTATTAATTTTATTCTTACCAGTTTAATTATTTAATTTACCCATGGATAGTCCTTTCTTTTTGGTGAGGAAGATAAGCCCTGAGCTAACATCTGTTGCCAATCCTCCTCTTTTTGCTGAAGAAGATTGGCCCTGGGCTAACATCCACACCCATCTTCCTCTACTTTATATACGGGACACCGCCACAGCATGGCTTGATGAGCAGTGCATAGGTCTGTGCCTGGGATCAGAGCGTGTGAACCTTGGGCCGCCAAAGCGGAGCACGCAAACCTTAACCACTACACCACTGGGCCAGCCCCTGAATATTCCTTTCTTTCTCTCATGCATTAAGGCAACAAATATTTCTTGAGGGCTTGCTATGTGCCAAACAGACACAGTCTCTGCTATGCCTTGAGGCTTCAGAAGGCTGCCTCCTGCCTTTCCTGTAGCTTCCAGTTCCTTCTGTTATCTAGCCCTAGGCCCAGGTATTCTGGTTCCCAGTGTGAAGAGCACAGTCATATTTCAAATAGGGCTAACACTGTGTCGGGCATCTAGGAGACACCAGACACAGGGTGAAGCACCGGGGCAGCCATGAAGACCATTTGGTCCAGATCTCACTTTTTCAAAGAGCTTCGAAATTAAATTATTGCTGCTGCCTCCAGATGAGGTTATACATTCCATATATACATACAGGAGGTACACTCATCAGACAACTTTATAACTCACATCCCATAACCAGAGCTCCCTGTAAAGCCCTATGAATATCTGTCTGCAACTTTGTGAAAAACATAATTATTCTTCACTATACTTTTATGTGTGTGTGAAAAGCACCATTGTGTTAAATTTGTGTATCCCTGTTTTAACATTTTTAATATAATAGCCTTAGAAAGGAAGAGTGGCCTAGGGCTCCCTGGGGGGCTTTCAACCTGGAGCTAAAGGGGGCGTGGAGCACAAACTGGGCAAGCGTTTGCTGAATCCGCTGTTCACCTGCTCCCTCTGGAGATCTAGCCTAGAACCTGGCACAGTGACCTCCATACGTACCTACTGACTGGCTAAAGGCAGTGCACCTGGTGCACTGTGGCCACTTCACAGTCAAGAACGGAAAGGCTTACTCACACCTAATCAACCACAAAGCCAGAGATACAACAGATATACTCAGCCCCACCCACAGGATGTCACAGAAAGCATGTGGGCCTTGGAGACACGCCAAGTGGGTGATGGGAATCCAGGCCTCCTAACCTTCTTTGGACCCCAGCTGGTTTGTCCAGGTGGGTTTCTGTTTTGGGTGGTGGTTGTCATTTAATTCGCTTTAAAAAAGCAGCTTTCCTCTCTGCCTCAGGAACCCCCAGGCCTCTGAGACATCAAAAACAGAAGATTCTCCTTCAGCTGGGTGGGAGTTTGGACTAAAGGCCTTGGAAGAACTCTTTGCAAGCTGTCCTCCCTTACAAGGCACACATTTTTTGCCTAGTGACTCTCTTTTCCTGACTTCAAAGCACTTTTCCATGACTAACATATGCCCAAGAGGCAAGTAGCCAACTCTGTGTTGCCAGCCGCCCGTTAATTCTGAGGCCCTCACAGGCATCAGTGGGCACAGGATCTACTGACTCAAGGACGCAAAAACAATTCACGAGGGGCTTGCTTCCACTCCACCCCCCACCCCTTATCTCAATGAATTATTTCACCAACCCACAGAGCAGGTTTTACAGATGAGAGAACCATAGCTCATGGCTGCTAAGAGTAGGATCCGTATCAGAATTCGGCTTTATTTGAAAAAATAAAACACGCCCTTTCCCACCACCTGACGATTCATCCTAAGGCTGGTGAGCGCCAGTAACATGCAAAGAGCTTTCCCTTTCCTGGGCTTTGGCTCACTAAGGCTTACACTCTTCAGTCTCCTCCCATTGGGCTGGAAACTACAACTTCCAGCGGCCAGCACAGGTCAAGAACGCCTCGCCGCATCCACCTGCTGACTCCACCATCCGCTATCGCCAGAATATTCTTCTTATCGTGTAGAAGAATAATTCTGGCAACGTTACTCCATTTCACTTCCTGATTTGATAAAGCCTGGCATCACCTTTATAAGGGCAAACCTACGCCCCCTCTCCTCTCACCTTCGAGGCAAAAATGGGAAAAACATTCTGAGGCGACGAGACCCAAACTGACAAGGCTGGTGACAGCAGGAAGGAAGAGTATTTCTACTAGGACACGTTAGGTGATTACAAATGCTTTCGCTTTTCCTGAAACGAAGGCTGAATTCAAGGCCCCCCTCCCTCCGTCTTAATCACTACTCACCAGCAGCGTTTCCGCCAAGGCCCACCTTATCAGAGATTCCCGAGAAATGACTCGGACTCTTCGCGCAACCCGGAGGCACAGCCTCCTTAATTCCTTCCGAACTGAGAGCTGCCTGGACGCTGTAGTGTTTTGCTTTCAAAGGCTGCGACTTAATTTGTTAGGCCGCCTGCCAGTCAGAAGCTGGCGGGCACTTCGCGCAGGCCAGTGGCTGCGGCGAGGCGGGTGGGCGGGACAGCCCCCGGGCGTTGGCTGCGCCGCAAAGCTTGCTTGAAGCGAAGGGGGAGAGACCTGCGGAGGCTGCGCCCGGCCGGAGCGTTGCGCTCACCTGGAGCGGGTCCCCTCTAGCGGCCACGGGAAGGGCGTGGGAACAAACCGCGCTTCCCCTCTCCGGCTGTGCTGGAGAGCTCAGGTGACTGCTTGTCTCCGCCTGTCCGACGGGTGGGCAGCCTGCCAGGTGTCCTTCCTCGTATCCTTAGGGCCGCCTCCCGGGCTTTGCTCCTGCACGCTCTCACCATGTATTCAAATCCTGCACATTCTTCAAGATCTGGTTCCCGCAAAAGCCTCGGGGCCATATATCTCTCTTATTGTCTGCCTTCCCGTAACACCTGTTGGCTGCACTATATACCAACCCTCCCAGTACGTCCGCGGCTCAGCAGTACTTAAGGTCCTCCAGTGAGCCTAGCACTCAAGAATGTTTCTGTAATATACAACTGTAATCATTAACACGTGCATGGAGCTTACACTTTTTCACTTACACGCATTTCATTTCAGATCCTCACAACAACCCCCTGAGTGAAACATTGAGCTCCTGCCCATTTTACAGATGAAGAAAGGACATTTGGGCAGAGACTTGAGACTTGAACGAGGAGAAAGAGCCGGTTATGGTTCAGACCCTGAGGCAGAGAGAGCTCAGAGGGACCACCTGAGAGCAGAACGAGGTTGGCATATTGTAGGAACTGCCCAAAGGACAGCGTGGCTGGTACGAGATTTTTCTGGGGCGTGGGTGGTAGGGGCTGCGGGCAGAGGGACCGGCCATGGACAGTTTATAATAAGATGTTTGGATTTCATCCTAAGTTTAAATGGGAGCTGTCGGAGGGTCCTAAACAGGGGAATGACAAGATCACTGTCACTGCTCTGAAGCGTGTAAAGAGGGGCTCATGGGACACCACAAGGCTGCCCTTGGGTGGTTGTTCACATCACTCTTTTTTCTCTTGCTATTATAAACAGGGCTTGGATAAATGTTAGTTCTTTAGGTTTATTCCTTGAAGTAGGATTTCTGGGTGAGCAAAATGCTAAGGCTTTTGGTCTATCACAAGATTTTTGAGGGGTTGCCTAGATAAGCCCCTATTAAGTTTCTCCATTGGTCCTGAAGTAGTTAACCTGAACCCTAAAATTCTGGCAGCTTCCCTGCGGTTTTTGAAACCCCTCTAGCGATTGACCAACCACTTTTCAAGCTAAAGAAACAGAGGACACCATTGGCTAGAGTTACTCAGGAGGCGGACAGAGGCAGACTCCAGAATGTTAGGCCTGTGGTTGCCATAGCGACAGGCCGATTGCACAGGCCAGATTCAGCCCAGCGGACCAGACGAGGTAGGAGGCAGTCTCTGTCGGAGGAGGCGCGCCCAGGTCGTGGAGAGGAGGACGTGGCACACCTCATAGGACACCCACTGAGCCCCCCAGCCTGCCAGGTGCCTGCGGAATTCCGGTGCCTACTAGGTGGTGCCCTGAGGGCGGGAGAAGTCACCGTTGGAGGCGTCCCTCCCTGGAGGTGTGCCCTCAGAGTCCCCACCTGAAAAGTGGTGATAATAACCACGGTGCCTTCCCCCACGGAGCTCCTGTGAGGGGCGTGGGCATCTGACTCCCCTGCCTCAGGCTCTGCGAGTGTACAAACGTTTGGGGGCTGTGGTGCCGGGCAGTGGGTGGACCACAAAGAGCTGAGTTCTAATCCCAGATCCACTTGGGTGTCCCTCTGCAAACATCTTCCTTGCTGTCGGCCTCAGTTTACCCATCCGTAAAACAAAAGGGTGAGATTGGAATCTAGTGGTCACTAGCTAGCTGCTAAAGTTTCTTCCAGCTCTCTGACACATTTCCTCAGCTTATGAAAAATATCAAATGGATTATTTACCTGAGAGTGCTTTGAAAAATGTGAAATACTGCCAAGATAACATTATAACTGAGTCGATAAAAATCTCATAGAGTCAAAACTACTCATGCAAATCCCATAAAATTTCACATAAAATAACAGTATACATGGCTTGGTACATATTGATATACCCTCCACAGTAACATACGTATATAAATGTATAAAATATGGGATACTATAACATAAATAGTAAAGGTTTTTTTTTTTAAACATAGAGATGGCAGAATGAAAACATGCCTATAGTTGTAATCGAGTTAATCTTAATAGAATGTAGCTCCTGAAGGAAAGAGTTGTATTATGAGTACATCTATATATATTATTGCTAAAATGTGTCTTCCTCTAATATTCATTCTTTCATTCCACAAATGTTTGTTGAGCATAGTGCCATTTTTCTGGCACTGTGGGCCAGGAAACACACTGGGGATTCAGTGATAAGCATTCTATTGGGGGTGGGGAGGAAGATCGTAAAGAAAGAAATATACATAAAATACCATGTTGGGTAGTGAAAAATGTTCTGAGAAAAACAGGGCAGGGTCAGGGCCTGGAGAGAGATGGGATGGTACTTCTTAAGAGAGAGTGGTCAAGGAGGTCATCCCTAAGAAGGTTTGAGTAGAGACCCAGACAAATCGGGTGACAGGGCCAGAGAGTGATGCCCAGTATAGTGAGGGGAGGGATCCCCATGCTACAAGGAGGGATTGCAGAAGCTGAAGAGGTCCCTTGTGGAGAAGAGGATTAATCTTTAGATGGTGGGACATGACAACTGCCTTCAAATACTTGAAGAATAGTCATATAGAACAGTGGCTTTCAAACTTTTTGTTGGTGACCCATGGTAAGAAGTGCATTTCATATTGTGACCCAGCACACACACGTGCACTTAAAAAACAAAACTTCACAAAATACTACAGGCTATGACCTGTATTTTGAAAATCACCAATGTGGAAGAGGAATGAGACTCATTCTGAGCTGATTCCAAGGGTTAGAATTAGGATGAGTGAAAAGAGAGAGAGAGAGAGAAAGAATCAGCTTTGATACAGGCAGGAACTTTCTAGCAGTGAGAACCACCCCACAGTGAACTGCCTCAGAAATTCCCAAACTGAGCTCCAGGGAACACCAGCATTCTGTGAATATTCAAGATAGCCTCAAATATTTGTTTTGTATTTTGAAAGCTATATGCAATATCCTAATTTCCAAAAACCAATCCTACCCACTCAGGGGTGCTAAATGTCAAAATTTAGCCTATTAACGTTTAGTATGTGCTGCCTTTGAGATTATTATAGTGGTTAAGAGTGAGCAGAAGTCAGACTTCTGATGTGACCTTGAGCAAGGCACTTAATCCTTCCCTCTAAACTTCAGTTTTCTCATCTGTAAACTGGGGATAATGCCTCACTGGGTTATTGTAAGTTTCGCATGAAGTATTCTATAAAAGGCATTTAGGACTGTAAGTGTTCAATAAATGATACCTTTAGTTATAAGCTGTTAATACATTATCTCTGTGCATACATTAAAAACTAATGTTAATAAAAGCATAGAGGAGGCAGCATTAACTACTTCATGTGGCTCATCATATTTAATCCTCACAAATACCTTGAGAGGAAGGTACTGTTATCATTCTCAGTTTATGAAGGAGGAAATGAGCTTAAAAGTTTAAATCAGAACTACTAAGTGGCAGAGAATAACCTTGAACCCAGGACTGGATACTCATCACTGCACTGGCCCTCACCTGGGAGGTTAAGTGGTTTCACCTGGGAATTGCTTAAACATATGCTGTTGATTAGGAAGGTGGTATATCTTCATTGCTCTTTCTTAGGTTCCAGGCCCATGACATCCTGTCATGAACAGTTGTACAAGCAAGTGCACCAGTGAGGCATATCTGGGCAGTGCTCCGTTCACACCTGGGTTATACCTGCTCTCATCCTGGCTTCACAGGTATGCAGTAACAAGACTGAAAAGTATTATTAATAGTGTTGTCTTTGGGTGTTAGGATTATAGATTGTTTGAAAAAATCTTTTTAATTTCTTATATTTTCCAAAAATTTGACAATATGAACATATTACCATTGTAATAAGAAGCTTAAATTTTTTTCTAATCATGCATAACTCTAGCACACTAATGCATTTAAAAAATAACAGCTTTACTGCAGCTAGGGAAGTAGATAGTTCTTACTAAGACACCAAACCAGCCTCAAAGGGTGGTAAGTGAATAGTGGCTGCTTTTCTAGACACAGCAAAGCATTCTTATACTGGAATAATGATTATGCTGTGATCATTATTGATCTGTTTCTGTTTTGAATCTCTTAATTTCTTTGAGTGTGTTGCCAATAATTCTATTAAATATTAAATTTTTATTATAGATTGTCAACCAAAAAAGATTGAGAATTGCTACTGTGAAGGTGACAGAATAAAGTGAGGAACAAATACTAAAGGAGAAAAGTATTGGTAGAGCATAACATCATTTATTTAATCCTTCGTTTATTAGTATTTATAAATGGTGTAAGTTCCTTAGAAAAAAATAATAAAACTCAAGTTTGTCCATGAAAGATTAACTGCTATGGAAATTAAATCATGCTCATGCTGTTAACAACTAAAAAATAGACAAATATAGGAAACAACTATTTTTAGACATTGGACAACAGGCAGCTTAGTTAGTACTGCAATCCCTAAGAGAAGAAAAACAAGGTGAGCCCTACAATTGCCCCGTCTTAGTGCTGGGGCCAGTTTTCAGGCCAAGTTCGAGGAGGGGGGAACCCAAACAAAGCCTAGCTTTCTGAGTTGGGCAGATAAAAATGAGATTTCAGGGATGCCAAAGAGGCTGGAATTTATAGAGTAGAACACCAGAGAGACGGGACATACACAGAAAAAGTTTAGAAATAGGAAGAGAGTTCTTCTCAAGTCTTGGGCTAAGTAGTGATCTTCCCATTCATGAGAAGAAACTAAGACTGGGGAAAGAACCACTAGAAAGCAGCAGGCTGAACAA